CCGAACCGCTGCAAGGCTTTGCTCAGTGGCAGCGCTTGATGTGATCGTCACATCGAAGCTTTGGAATAATCGGCCCTCCAAAACCGTGCACTGGCTGTACTCCTTCGGTTTCCCAGTCTCCCTCCACACCGCATCTCTGGATGCATGCCTGAAGTCATACTTGCACTGAACGTTCACCTTATTTAACACTGTACCAAAAATGCTGCAGCGCTGTGCAAGGAAGGGAAGCATCTCTACCTAAATGTAACACAGAAGTAATTAGCATTTTGGATGAGTTAAAAAATATCATCATCATATATGGCAACACACTTCAGCTAGTATGTGCTCTGAATCACAGACGAAGTTTTAATTCTGTGTATCATTTGTCTTGTTCCGAGACTGACCTGAGAGTATGAGACTATGAATAACAAAAAAAAAATTCTACAAAAGAAGTATTAATTCCAGTAAATTACATTATGTCCAAGTTTCCCTGAACTTGCAAGAGACAATATGGTATGTTTCATTTCTTGTAAATTGTTTCAGTGGGCACTGTACAGCCCTTTAGGAAAGTTCTTTGAGATAAGGCAGGATAAAAAACACTGCATAAAAGTGCAGTTTACTTAGAGGTGGAATTATTCTTCACCGTAACCGTGTTGAAAAGGGCTCAGATGTGAGACAGTAAAAAGAGAAGAGAGGAACAGAGATGATCTTCACAGAACAACTAAGAGCTGTATTGGAAACAAGTATTTTTTCAGTGGTTTAGATCTACCATCACATGGCAGCATCAGTCCTGAACAGAGAACTGAACTGCAAGTTCTCTGCCTTTCCTCAGTCTGAAATTGATGCAAAAAACATAAACAGAGGGAAAGCAGCAGGATGGAAAGGATGGATCACTTTCACCTGCAGCAATAATTTAAGAACATAATTGGTAACACAAACGTTTCATTCATTATACATTAGGATAACACTGTTGTGTACATCACTATCACAAGTGGAATGATGTTGGATCTACTGGGACAGCAGGCAGAGTAGTTGTTCAGCAACAAGGATCTCTGCTCCAGCTGGCTCCATCTTCAACACTGAAACATGAACACAGTCTTTGGATCTGGAGAATCTACAACATCAATCTTCCTGAGTTGACAATCTCTAAGCTCAGCATGGGCCATGTCAGAAAAACTGACAAAGGTTTCAGGAAACTGAAGCCTACAGTATCACCTCATAGAACTTCCTATCTGGTTTCTCTGACCTATGAAAAAGATTTCTTGATGTAAACTCTTATGCAGAAGATCAAGAGTCCTTTTAGATAGCTTGCTGCTGCCCAATCACTGCCATAATTTTTTTTTTAAATGCAACTAGTTGTTGTGGGCATTTTAGGAAAACGGAGAATTTTTTGTAAGACCACTCGAATTGACTGAGCTGTTGAAGTGCTCAAGTAACCACTGAAACCACCCTCTGTTTTTCAAGACCAGCGAAAACAGAGCAATAGAGAAAGGGAGTCAGTGTGCCCTGTGATCGTTCAGATGTGAAAATCTGCCCATCGCTCATAAGCCCCTTATTGTCTATAAGAAAGATAATCCCCTACATGAAGGTCTGTTGCCATGTTTTGAAAAACCTTGCTTAGTCTTTATCTGTAACACTGAAATCCGATTCTTTCAAGATTGGCATAACCTAATAGAAATTTTGCTTGGGTTTGGCCCACGTTCACCAGTCTAAGAGCGAGTCAAAAGGTAACAAGCTTGGAGAGATGCCACTACTAAAATAGACAGGCTTTACATCTATATACAGGGTCACCTGAGATGTCTGCTGCCTTTCAGACAAGGCTGATCATAGGGAAAAGGACACATGTTGACAGGGTGAACCACATGGGAAAAGATGGGATGGAAATCCAGAAATCATTATTCAAAGCTGATTCATGTAGCTCATGGTGACTCAGGTGGCTTTCTTATTGAGGTTATGGAGCAACATCTTAGCCAGAACTTCTCTCTACACCAAACACGCAATTATAACTCAGCAGAACCATTTTACACGTAAACAAATCGATAAGTATGATTAAGAGAGCTGGAGCTATGCTTGACCAAAACAAGTTTGAAGATCCTTGTTTAGCCAAAACCCAGTGGTATGGAAATCGGAAGCTTGAATTAAGCTAGCCCACTAGACTAGTCCACGATATTAGGAAATACAGCTTGCCACCTCAGATGCCTGCACAGATCTCCAGAGCACTGAATGAACAGAACAAAGTTCATCACCCACCAGAAGGACAGCAGTACACAGATGAGCTTTAACCTAGAATTCTAGTAATCATTATCAACCTAGAATTCTAGTAATCATTATCTGCCTTTCATCCAGGGCAAATGCATTGTATGTCAGCTCTGTGACAGAATAGCTTACGAGACAGGAAAATGCTAAGTTCACAAAACACCCCAGTGTGAGCACAGACCACGTGGAAGATAGCTGCAATATGCTTTACCTCCTAACTCCTCCCTCACCCCCCAAAAAACCCCCACTTCCAGACCTAGACATATAGGGCACTATTAATACTGTGCTAGAGATGACTATTTAAAGATGCTACATATTCTACACTCCTAAACCTCAGATATATAAAATGGTCTACATGGCAACTTTTAATCCTTTTGAGATGACCATTTTCTTCTAGGAACATATCGGGAAAGTAGATTCTCATGCTAGGTCCAGGTTAGACTACATGAACTCTAAATTGGTACTTGAATTCAGATGAAAACAAAGGTCTTACCTGCACCTTGCAGTGATCTGAGAGCCACTAGTCATTTCTCCATTTCCCTAGAGATAGGCAGCTTCCAGTAAAGTTTCCTAGATTTAATTCAGTAATTACCCATTTAACAGCAAGATGACAGAGCTTGTTACAAGCTTGCTCACCTTCTTCCGAAGTTCAGCTTATGTTTGTTGAATGATCAGATCTATTATTGAATATTCTGACTAAAGTTTGAGATGCTGTCAGCCCCCCACACCAGATTAGTATACAGTAGCAGAGCTGTAAATGTAGACACCATAAATGCATCTAGAGTGTTAAAAGACAGATACTGTGAGAAGCAAAGCTTGATACTGCAGATACTTTGTTGTTAAAAATGCTTTGATCCTACTGCTCTTAAAAGAATTTGGGAGATAATGCAAGGCTGACTTTACAAAAATCAGGAAGCTGGAAGTTCTCCCTTTTAATTAGGTGATGCCAAAAATGCAGTAACTAAGTAAGCATGTAATAGCAACATGCCACAATTAAATGCCTTAGACCAATCTAAAGCAGTAGTTAGGTTAGTTCAACTGGGACACTGCTCAGAACCAAGTGGAAAATTTTTTACCAAGGTGATCAAAATTTATAGTGTAACTGCAAACTTATGCAAAGACAACTCTCCTATCACTGTTCACAGATTTGTGTTTAGCTCCTTCTATCAAGAGGTGCCAGAACACCTTATGTGCCAGCTAGCCTGGGAAAAAACAAATTTTGCACAGAAACAGCTCTGGATGTTTGAAGTAAGTGAAGGAACAAGGCCAGCAGTATAGCCTTTCACATTTAATCTGTGTATCCTTTGATCTTTCAAAGATATGCCAACGTTAACAAACAAGTGACACTCCTATATAGATATAAATAAACAAAACATTTGACTTGAAGTCACTGTTTGAAGGGTCCTATGTGATAGGTCACTATCAAGAGAAATGCATGGTGACTGAATGACAAGATGCTGTCTTCCAGATATCCTGGTGAGAAAGATAATAAATGCAGGCAACAGGTTGACAGTTAAAGTTGTTATCTTTAATGAAATGACTTTGGAAATAGCATCAATTTCCATGACACCAACATTTTGGGAGTCCCATAAAATGCAGAGTTACATTCCAATGCCAGTACTACAGGCAGATCTCCTTTTACATGGCAAATAGGATCAAGAAAGCAACCATCAGACAAAAGAGACCCATAGCTTCAGACAGGGCGAATCCCAGGATAGCATATGAGAACAGCTGCTGCTTCAGAGAAGGATTTCTAAAAGAAAGTGAAGGAGTAAGACCTTTTTATCTTTACAATTAATACATTTTTCATACAGTTTAATGCATCTGACAGATTCAGAACCTCATACTTCCTTGCCACAGATTCCCTAACAGGAAAATCCAATAAATCCAAGCATAAGCAATTTTTAGTAAGGATTTCACTGAAGACAAATGACTAGGCAATTAAGACTAGATTCAGGTTATGCAGATTGTATATGGCTTTTCCAAATGAGCACAGTTTTTGTGACTACATTCATATATGCTTTTGAAATTGACTTCTCTACATCCTCCCATGCAGGAACTATCAGCACTATGCTTTATAAATTTATTTCACATCTGTGACATTATAAGTATATTCCAAGGAATTCTGTGTATAACGTTTTAAGTAGCGCTCAGACAAATACAGGAACTGAAACCACCTAGAGCAAAAAAAGAAATACACAGCAGTTTGTTGCAAAAATGCAATGAATTATCCCTCCAAGAAGTGTGTGGGAAATGAAAAAAAAAAAAACCTTCAACATACCATGAAGTAACGTTTTACAATCTCTTATTGGCATGTTCATGCCAAATTCAAAAAAGGAGACATTAGTTTTGTACTAAAAACACTTCTGCTTCTTCAAGTGGAAAGTGAACTTGTCTTCAGTAAGGATTAAAAATCTTTAAGAAATAAGACTTAATTAAGTCTTAACTGCTTGAAAGAGTAATGAAGAACATGAAACCTTCAGTAAAACTTTTTTATGCCTATATCAGTTCTGCTCTTCCATAATACCATGTGAACTATTCCTACTACAGGAACATTGTAAACTTATCTGGAAGAAGTTCATCTCTGCTATAAAATGCCCACCCTCGCCCCTTTCAGATTTCTAGAAGGAATGATTACTCATTCAACAATTACATATTTTGTGATGCAAAGCTGAACGTGTTAGAAAAAATGAATTAAGCATCCATTTCTAAATAACAATCCTGATTACTAGTCTGAAGCATACAAGCTCACATTATTTCTTATCAGTTTTCATACAGTTTCTCTTTAGGACTCCTCCTCCGCTGGAGGACTCTTCCTCTTTTCCCCCTATGGGAAAAGACCCAGGCTAGATTTTTAATTCAGTTCTGCAACTGAATGCTGAAACATTGGACTTCAGTGACCAAAACACTGACCAAAGCTAATGATCTCAATTCTTTCACATCTCTTCTCCAGGTAGAATGTACAAAGTTCTGAATTCAACAATACAGCCATCTTGATGAATATACTACAGTTTTGTATGATTCTCTTTAGCCATGTTTATCATTAATATTAATTGTTAACATAATTTATTACAGTGCCATCACCCCTACTACAGCTTAGCTTATCTGGGGGTGCTGTCTCAAGACACATCTGCATGCAATTCAAGAGTTTTATAATAGATTGATTACCTGGCATAACCAATGATTAGACTACCGAAGACTGTTCCAATACCAGCACCAGAACCAGCCACACCTACTGTGGCAGCACCAGCACCAATAAATTTGGCAGCAGTGTCAATGTCCCTGCTGATAGCACTAGTCTGGAATTCTCTAAGTGCTAGTCGGGAGACAGTATTTTGGGCCCCATTAAGTGTTGAGTTGCCCTAGGAAAACAAAAGATGAAAAAGCATTATATTCAGACACAGACCACTTTCTATGACCACTTTGATAGTGTTATTCCGCAGTTTTAAAAGTTGTGTTAGATCCAATGTCTAGTTCCTCTTCCAAGTGAGGAGACTATAACGAAGAGTTAAAAACTTCAGAATGTTACCCATTCCAACTGAAAGCAATCAGCTCTAAATGTAAAAGACTTCTCAGGGGAAACAGCAAGGCAGCAACAAGTATTATTAGGTGTTTGACTTAAAGCTAAGTTTCACACTATAGATGTTTGAGTTAGTACAAGTGAACTCTAGGTTGAGGACATTTAGGCTCACCAGGTAATTTAGGAAGATACAGAATTTTGTTTATAAGGTACCTCTCCAGTCTTGACCTCTGGCCTAGACAACACAGATGCTGAAATTGGTCTGTACAAGACTCTTGATCCAGCACGGATCTGAAAGAGGAGGAAAAATGCTATAAAAAAAGGAAACATTCAATCACAGCTGTTCCCGTACAATAGGCTGTAAGATTATAATGCTATTATCTACTAAGCCATTTGTCTTACTCGAAAAACAGCAATCTTTGCATAGCTGAATATACAATGAACGACACAGAAACAAACACTGCCATGCAATTTGATAGCACTGTTTTCAGGAGACGTTATGGTGAATAGCTACATCATTCAATGGACATGTACATGCGTTATACTGACAGAAAACGTAGCAAAACAGCGACAAAGAAGCCAGACAGACCAGCACGCAGTAACAAACATTTTGAAATGAAAAAATAAAGCCCAACAAAATGAATTCCAAAGTTGTTAAATACATAAACATAACCTAGACTTCTAAATCTAGCCAGGCATAAATGAATGAATCCTCTTTCACAAGCGGCCTGCATGTGTCCTTGGGCTTCCAGCAGTCTAAGGTCATAGCGGCTCCTGCAAAAAGCTCTTCCTGCAGGGGAAACCTGTGCCTACACCATGCAAAACGAAGACGTTCTGCAGGCTAGAGGGAACATTTTGAAGCAGGATAGCTCCTTGTTTCTGCAAGGGCAAGAAATCCCGGCCTTGTGTAGGACAAGCAACAGGCTGGAGTTTGACCTACAGCAAAGAGCAGAGCGCAGCAGGCCCAAGAGCTTTTCACTGCGCTGCCCTCCCCCTTCCACGCTCGTATGGGAAGGCCCCTCACCTTGGCAAAGGGCCCTGGCCCACGCCAAGGAGGCGGGAAGGAGAACCCGGCC